AGAGAAAAGGAGTGACACTATTTATGCCAGGGGACACAGGGAATTAACTTTCCAAATATGAGTAAAGTAACATACAGGGGCTTCTCTTTTATATCTTCCTGGGGTCTTAAATATGGATTATGCTTCCAGTCCTTGCAAGAAGGCCCCCAAGTGTTGGGGGTCTCTAAGCCATATCTGATGGTCTGGCTTGGCACAAGTGTTAATAACCCTCCCTCTGGGGCAGTGCACTGTTCACAGCTTTATGGCCTCTGTAACAGGTTCTGTAAAACCAATTTCTGGGAAAGAGGTAGTGACTTAATTATAGGTTATCAAGAATGTACACTGGGCTTGCTGGCATGGATTCATATTGCTAGCCCTTTCTCCACCCCCCAATATCAGAGTTACATTGGAATTAGCCTTTTAGCTTCCTCAGCTTGACAGAATTTTTGTCAGTTGATGGTTCATCATTGTGTGTGTAGTTGTGAACAAAGAGGAAATGCATGTTTGCAGTGCATCTCTTGGGCTTTTATATTGATTCCACATCCTAGTTGCCATGACTACCCATCTTAAGCATAAAACAGAGCAGATGTTCCTTTATTTGACTACCTACATCAGCAATCTATAAACAACATCTACTATTCATTAAATCAAGGAAATAGTAAGAGTAACTGAATTTCTATCACTAAGAACTGTCTTTTCCCATCTACATCACTCTTTTCTTAAAAAGCTGTTATTTATATAATCCAATTATCTTATTTATTCAGTCTCCCTTACCCTGCCTCTCCTCTGGCACACACCAATCTGTTCCGTATACCCATGCTTCTGGCTTTATTTTGTTCATCAGTTTATTTTGTTCATTAGATTCCACATATGAAATCATATGGTATTTGTCTTTCTCTGAATGGTGTATTTTGTTTAGCATAATGCTCTCCAGGTCCATCTATGCTGTTGCAATAGGTAAGAGTTCCTTCAGTTTAAAAGGTGCATAGTATCCCATTATGTAAATGTACCACCACAGCTTTTTATCCACTCATCTACTGATGGGCATTTGGTCTGTTTCCAGATCTTGGCTATTGTAAATAAAGCTGCTGTGAACACAGAGGTACATATATTCTTTCTGATTGGTGTTTCAGGATTCTTAAGATATATTCCCAGAAGTGGGATTGCTGGGTCAAAATACAGTTCCATTTTAATTGTTTTATGAAACTCCATTCTGTTTTCCACAGTGGCCACACCAGTCTTCATTCCCACCAACAGTGCACTAGGGTTCCCTTTTCTCCACATCCTTGCTAGCACTTGTTGTTTGGCATTCTCATTGTTGTGATGTTATACCTCATTTTAGTTTTAATTTGCATTTCTTTGATGATTAGTGACCATGATCACATGTCTCAGCCATCTGTATGTCTTCTTTGGAGAACTGTCTATTGTTTTCTTTCTCTCATTTAGTTTCTGTTGTTTTATGCAATATAATAGGTTAAAAAGTCTGATTATATATAATCAGACTTTTTAACCTATTATATATATATATATATATATATATATATATATATATATATATATATATATATATATATAATACTCATTTACTTGTTTTGGAATTAATAGTTGATTCTCAATGTTTTATGCTTTTTGGCTAAATTAAATAATTTAAATAAATATGGAAATGCCCAGCTAGCTCAATCGGTAGAGCATGAGACTCTTAAATAATTTAAATAAACATACAGATGAGTCACTCAACACCTCACTCAGTCTTGCAGTTATACATGTCTACTCCAGTCCAGCAACACAATTTAAAGGTCACACCTCAGGCTTTGCCTTCTATAGCAATAGTTTATAAAAAAAATAACAATTATAATACTTTAAAAATAATCCTATGTAGCAGGCACTGCGTTTAAGCACTTTATATAAGTCATGTATTTTTTTTCCCTGACAACTCTTGGAGAAAAAAATACTACTATCACTATTTTACAGATGAAGAAACTGAGGCTATAGAGGTCAAATTAATTTACCTAAAGTAACACAGACATGTTGATGAAGATACTAAAGATCTGAACCATGATTTGACTGATTCTAAAACTATGCAATTTAACTGCTCTGCTTCAAACTCTTCAATTTTAAACCATGTGTTCTTTTTTTTTCAGTTTTTCTACTTCTGCCTCTAAACATATCCTTAGCTTCAGTGAGAACCCCAAGCCTTTCCAGTCCATAATTGGCCAGAATATCAATCATTTTGGATTTACCATCCTTCTTTACCTAATGTGCATATTCCCACCCTCACCCAATTCCTGTGTTTTCCTATCATTTTTCTCAGCTAGCCTACATGTTCTCATACTTAGATGAGTCAAGTCATCCATTTATCTTGCTTCTCCTCTCATATTGTTCAGTCTTGGTTAAGTTGCTCATGATGATTATATCATGTCACAATTTTTCACCATTAAATATGTTTTTCTCACTGCCACAACCTGCACAGCTAGGGTTCAAGATCTGAATAAAGGGCCATGCACAAAGGAAAATACTATACAAGAAATACGAATTAAGAAGGCATTGGGGGCCAGGGGTATCTCTTTCATGAAGAGCACACCAAAACTGTGTCCCCTCTGCTTTTATTCACTTGAATACACATTTGCCTTTTAGCAATGCATATAAGCATATCAAAGGTAAAGTTTGATAAACAGTAAAAGGATTATCAGGTTAGGGAATTACCTTTAGCCACTGAGCCCACAGCAGAACAATATTATACTGATTTTCATCCCTGCTGAATATCAAAGTCCTTTGGCCTTCCAATGGGTCTTTTTGCATTAATATGCTAACTATTGATACTATTGGTTTTAGCCTCCAGCATTTCTCTCTTTTTGTTTTCTTAATAAATCTAGAAAGGTGTATACCCTATGTAGGGCTCAAGTCCTTTTAAGAATTCATTCCCCAAGTGTAGAATAGAATTAAACTCAAGAATAAGAGGAGAGAAACCAAAATGGCAGCATAGGTAAACACCTATATTGCTACCTCGCACAACAATTTCAAAACCACAACTGGAAGACAGAGTGGACATTGTAAAGAACCATAAGAAAGCTGGATGAGTGGAAATTCTACAACTAGAAGAAAAAATAAAAGGACACTGAGAACCAGAGGAGCTATAGAGGACAGAGGTGTGGAGACCCACCCGTGCAGAAAGGTCAGGCAGCTGAATACCTGGCTGGTTTACTCGCGTCACTCAGAGAGGGTGGGCAGCAAGCACTCAAATAGATGTCTCATTCAGAAGGGAAACAAAACCTCCCAACTGCACTGAAATCCAGTTCCAGGTAAAAGTTTGGGTACCCATACTCATTTGGGGAGAAACTGGACTCTCTGGCAGCGGGTAAAACTTGAGGGCAGCCTTCTTACAGAGGTGCATGCAGCTATTGCTGTGGAATACTGAGACACAGGGGACACAGGGGCCTCGTAGGGTGGGGCTGACAGGAAACCAAGGCTCTATGCTCCAAATCAAAGCTGAGCACAGAAGCTCTCCTAGCTGAGACACAGCTTAACCCCACAGCCAGTTGGCTTGAAGGTCAACTCCCCCCAGTGATACTAACAACAATCTAGGCTTAACTACAACAAGATTGCACACACAGCCCACAAAGGGGCACAACAAGAGTGTCCACTTCAGGTAACTGGGAAGGCTGAGCTGTTGGGCCCTGCTAGGATGCCTAGCACACAAAGCAACTCCATCAACTTAGGAAAGCAGCCAAAATGCAGAGATAAAGAAACAGATTACAAATGAAAGAAATGGAGGAAAGTAATTGACTGGACATAGAGTTCAAAACCATGGCTATAAAGTACTTCAATAATTTCCTAAAAAAGGCTGATAAATTTAATGAGACCCTTGAGGATATGAAAAAGGATCAACCAGAAATTAAGCATACACTGACTGAAATTAAAAAAATATATATTATACAGAGACCTAAAAGCAGACTAGAGGATTGCAATTACCAAGTCAAAGATTTTATGTACAAAGAAGCAAACAAACAAACAAACAAACCTCAACCAGAAAAGAAAAAACAAAAAAGAATCCAAAAAGTTGAAGATAGTGTAGGAAGCCTCTGGGACAACTTCAAGCATACCAATATCAGAATTATGGGGATCCCAGAAGAAGAGACAGAGCAAGATCCTAAAAATCTATGTAAGGAAATAGTGACAGAAAACTTCCCCAACCTGGTGAAAGAAATAAACTTACAAGTCCAGGAAGCACACAGAATCCCAAACAAAAGGAATCCAAAGAGGACCACACCAAGACACATCATAATTAAAATGCCAAAAGCAAAAGACAAAGAGAGAATTTTAAAAGCAGCAAGAGTAAAACAGTGAATTACCTACAAGGGAGCACCCATATGATTGTCAGCTGATTTATCAACAGAAACTATGCAGGCCAGAGGGGAATGGCAAGAAATATTCAAAGTGATGAATAGCAAGAAACTACAACCAAGATTACTCTACCCAGCAAAGCTATCATTTAGAATTGAAGGTCAGATAAATAGCTTCACAGATAAGAAATAGCTAAAGGAGTTCATCACTGCCAAACAAGAATTATATGAAATGCTAAAGGGTATTCTTTAAGAAGAGGAAGAAGAAGAAAAATGTAAAGATAAAAATTATGAACAACAAACACGTATCTATCAACAAATGAATCTAAAAACAAAGGGAATAAAAAAATCTGATGAACAGAATAAACTGGTGAATGTAATAGAATCAGGGGCATAGGAAGGGAGTGGACTGGCAATTCTTGGGGGAAAAGGGGAGTGGGGGTGTGGGAAGACACTGGACAAAAAGCATACAACTATGGATGAGGACAATGGGGAGAGGTAAGGGCAGAGGGTGGGGTAGGAACCTGGTGGAGGGGAGCTATGAGGGGAAAAAGAGGAACGATTGTAATAATCTGAACAATAAATATTTATTAAATTTTAAAAAAAGAATAAGACAGACAATGGTGGTTATGCTAAAAGGCAAATGTAGGGAGATCCAATGAAAATGATTGAGTTTCATGTCATTTTTAAATTACTGCCATGCATCTAAGGAACTATTTTATAGTAGGTTCCTTTCTGGGCCATCATTTCTTTATGGATCCCCTTCTCAATCACTGTCCCCTGTGACATGACAGCAATGAAATTCGAGTTCTGGATGATGGACAAATGGTTGGCAATGACAATGCAGGTCCAACCTTCTCTGGCTTTGTCCAGGGAAACCTGCACCTTCACACAACTGGTGACTGATAGCATGGCAAGGCTTCTTTACCATCCCCCAGGTCATCTCTGGACTCTTCCTCTTCTGTCTTGTTCTCCTCCCACTTAATATCTTCAGCCTGTTGCTTGGGGCTACTGCTATCTGTCGCTGGAGTTGTTGATTGTCTGCAGCCACAGGTACAGGGTCAGACTCCAGGTGCAAGGTCCTCATTAGATTGGTCAGTTCCTCTCTCGGATCCATGTTGAGGTTTAATGTTCCTTTCAGGAATCCACACAGACTTGGAGAACTTTTCTGGAAATACACAAGCATATTTTCAATCAAAGGTTAATTAATAAAGGGTCTGAACCTCTTCATAAACCAGACTCAAGGTCTTTTCATTTAACCAGATCATTTTCCTTTGGCTTATTCTGACACTAGTGTAACTCCATAGGTGTCTTGCCATTAGTGTTACAAGTGAAAAAATTTTAATATAATTAATGCTTGGTGTAGTCTACTTACAGGAGATTTCAACACTTCTCATCATGATTCAGTTGTCAGTGTTGGGTAGAAATTCTTTTATTACCCCTAGAGACCTTTCTTCTTCCTCCTCCTCTTCTTCTTCTTCTTCTTCTTCTTCTTCTTCTTCTTCTTCTTCTTCTTCTTCTTCTTCTTCTTCTTCTTCTTCTTCTGGCCAGCCTGGCCAGGGGGAGAGGACATGGGTGGTTGGCTGGCCTGCCTGCTGGTTGAACTCCTGGTCAAGGGGACAACTTGCATATTAGCCTTTTATTATATAGGATATGCTCTGAGTGGTCATATTATGCATTCAGAGATCATAATAATCTGGCCATTCAGTGTATATTTTTATTGATTTCAGTTAGAAAGGGAGAGGGAGAGAGAGATAGAAACATCAATGATGAGAGAGAATAATTGATTGGCTGCCTCTGGGGGATCAAGCCCTCAACCTGGGCATGTGCCCTTGACCATAATCAAACCCTGGACCCTTCAATCCACAAGCCAACACTATCCACTGAGCCAAACTAGCTAGGTCGCTAGTGACATTTCTTTTCCAGTCTACCTGGCTGTTGCTTCAGACCCTATCGCTTTTTCAGACTCTCCTTTCCTCTCAATCCCATAACATCAACATATGCAAATTATTTTAACACCTTGCCACCCATAGAAGACAAAGGACGTCGACATTTCTTTCTTCCATCTTTCTATAAATTTACATACAGTATTATTTTACCAATTGCCAAGGTTATGATTCTTTTTCAAGGTTAAGCTATGCCCTTGAGCCTCTCTCTTCTCCACCACCTGTTCACTCTATTCCTCCTTTAGGATATTGGTCTATCAATTTTAAAATCTCTCTGCTTTATTTCTCTGCCTATCCTCCCACCCCTCCTTTATTGGCTACTTCCTTTCAGCCAAGAAAGAAGTTCTAGTTTGCTCATTCTCCAGGTTACAATAACTGTCAAAAACAAAAAGAAAATAGACATTACCCATCATCTTCCATGAGCTTCAACATTCCCTTCTCTTACCTACTGGATAGAGCACTCCCACCATTTTATTATATTTGATCTCCTAACTTGCTGAAATTTCTTCACTTGGTTACATAGTCTGAAATTATACTTGATTAAAATTTATATGAATTGACAAATACAAATAATCCAGGTGAGGCTGGGAAAGGAGATTGGGTATAAGATTATTTGCTTCCACCTTTAGATGACTAATTTCAACCAAATTGATTTACTTATAATACTAAGCAGCTGTCTTGAGAATATGCCATTCTTTGATCAGAGAGGAGGGATCATTTTAGTAGTGGAGTACTTAGGAGAGGGAGAAAAATCTAAGTAAAATTTTGCACTGGTGGTGACAAGGTGTCTATTAGAGCACTTAACATGCAATATGAAAGCAGGGAGTCTCTGTGGAGTGGCTCAAAATGGTTATTAAGAAAAAAGAGAGGGGAAAATGAAGGCAGATTGGAAGTCTTAAAGACAAGTTGTTTCTATTTAGCATTTTGCCTCAATCCAATCCCATAGATAGCGAAATCAGGGCAATGTCATGGGGTCAAAGTTAATAGGTTTGTAAGAGATTTTGTGAGAGATTCCCCCCCCCCCCCCTGATTTTTGGTGTGCTAGGTATATCAGAGAGGTGAAAGACAATGCAGATTAAGGAAATTAGACTGAATCTGCATTTCTGCTGAAAGGTCATGACATTGGATGTTTTTTCTCAGGTAAATTATGAAACAGTAGAGATGCATAATCAAGAATGTTCTAGCCCTGGCTTGGGTGGCTCATTTGGTTGAGCATAATTCCATGCACTGAAAGGTCACTAGTTCAATTCCCAGTCAGTTTGCAGGTTCAATACCCAGTCAAGGTGCTTACAGTATCTCTCTCACATTGATGTTTCTACTTCCCTCTCTCTCTAAAACCAATAAAAACATATTTAAAAAAAAAAGAATATTCTGGTGAGTTTATTTAGGGACTTCCTAAATAAACAGATAGGGATTTAATATACGTGACCTATAATATTGAATCCTTGCATTAGTAAACAGTACTTGGAGTAATACCAAACATCATTATTTTTAAACAAATATGTAACAATTTATCAGAGTTTTAATAAGTCCTAAAATGTATAAGTCAGCATGTAAATTGGAAAGATTGAGAAATATAGCATACCATTTTGATATATAAAAATTCCAGCAAAAATCTGGGATTCTTCCAATGTTCTTTTTGTTTTGTTTTGTTTTATTTATTTATTTATTTATTTATTTATTTATTTATTTATTTATTATTTTTTTAGAGAGAGATGAAGCAAGAGTTATAGAGAGATAGGAAAATCAATGAAAGAGCAATATCATCAATCAGCTGCCTTCTGCATGGCCTCCACAGGGTATCGAACCTGCAATCTGGGCATGTGCAGGATTGGTTCCTGGGATGATGCTCAACAGCTGAACTACACTGTCCAGGCAAAACTGAATTTTTAATGGTAGCTGAGTTCCAGAGTGTGAGGCCACTGGGCAGAGTTTGGGATTACAGAAGCTCCTGGGCTGTAAATCAAAAAGAAGATTTTTCTTGGGGTGAAACTGAAATGAATGATTTCATCCCTTTAGAAATTTTCTTTGGATTAAGGTCTTCATTTGAGATCCAGAGAATTTTCATGGATATTAAAGAAGAATTCCATTTCCTCCTTTGTACATTCACCCATTTTCTTTTTCTTTCAATGTCCCCTGTCCCTGTTTCTGTTTCATATATTACTCTTTAATGTAGATGGCATACATAATATGATCTAATAAAGCTTTCTTTGAAAATCAAAGAGTCTTTGTAAATGAGCTGTTTCCTGCCCCTTCTACAATTTCATGCATCAGTAAGAAATACAGAATTCTTTTTTTTTATGGAAAAATATTACTCTTGAGTGGCACTTTATTTTCTTAATTAGTAAGTCTTTATTGTTCAGATTATTACAATTGTTCCTCTTTTTTCCCTCCCCACTACCAGGTTCCCACCCCACCCTCTGCCCTTATCTACCCCGCCCCCACTGTCCTTATCCATAGGTGTATGATTTTTGTCCAGTCTCTTCCCGCACCCCTAACACCCCTTTATCCCAAGAATTGTCAGGCAACTCCCTTCTTATGCCCCTGATTCTATTACATTCACCAGTTTATTCTGTTCATCAGATTTTTTTATTCTCTTAATTTTTTAAAATATATTTTATTGATTTTTCACAGAGAGGAAGAGAGAGGGATAGAGAGTCAGAAACATTGATGAGAGAGAATCATCAATCAGCTGCCTCTTTCACACCCCCTACTGAGGATGTGACCACAACCAAGGTACATGCTTTTGACTGGAATCGAACCTGGGATCTTTCAGTCTGCAAGCCGATGCTCTATCCACTGAGTCAAACCGGTTTTGGCTATTCACTTAATTTTTAGATTCACTTGTTGATAGATATGTATTTTTTGTTCATAATTTTTATCTTTTTCTTCTTGTTTCTCTTCTTAAAGAATACCTTTCAGCATATCATATAATACTGGTTTGATGGTGATAAACTCCTTTGGCTTTTTTTTATTTGTGACTTCAATCAACCTCTGAACGATAGCTTTGCTGGATAGAGTAATCTTGTTATAATTTCTTGCTATTTATCACTTTAAATATTTCCTGCCACTCCCTACTGGCCTGAATAGTTTCTGCTGATAAATCAGCTGACAATCATATGGGTGACAATCATAGGTAAATTAATTGTTTTCCTCTTGGTGCTTTTAAAATTCTCTCTTTGTCTTTTGCTCTTGGCATTTTAATTATGATGTGTCTTGGTTTGGTCCTCTTTGGATTCCTTTTGTTTGAGCTTCTGTGTGCTTACTGGACTTGTAAGTTTATTTCTTTCACCAGGTGGGGGAAGATTTCTGTCATTATTTCTTCAAATAGGTTTTCAGGATCTTGCTCTCTCTCTTCTTCTGAGATCCACATAATTCCGATGTTGGTATGCTTGAAGTTGTCCCAGAGGCTCCTTACACTAGGCCTCAATATCTAGATCTAGGCCTTCCACAGTTCTTCTGAGTCTCATATTTTTTATTCTTTTTTCTTTTTGCTTTTCTATTGATAGTTGAGTGTTTTTTGCTTTTTTGTATTTCAAATCTTTGACTTGATTCTTTCAATCCTCTAATCTGCTGTAAGATCTTTGTATAATATTTTTTATATCAGTCAGTGTATGCTTAATTACTAGTTGGTCCTTTTTCATATTCTCGAGGATTTCATTAAATTTATTGCCTTTTCTAGAAAATTCTTGAAAAACCTTATAACTGTGGTTTTGAACTCAATATCCAGTCTTTTGCTTTCCTCCATTTCTTTCATTTGTAATCTGTTTCTTTGGCTCTGCGTTTTGTCTGCTTCCCTGAGTTGATGGAGTAGCTTTCTGCACTAGGTGTCCTATAGGGCTTAGTGGCTCAGTCTCCCCAGTTACCTGAGGTGGACACTCTTGGTGACCCCTCTGTGGTCTGTGTGCATGGTCTTGTTGTAGTTAAGCCTTGATTGTTGTTGGTATTACTGGAAGGAATTGACCTTCAGGCCAATTGCCTGTGAGGATCAGCTGTGTCTACACTAGGAGAATTTCTATGCTGGAGACATCCTTATGAGCCAAGACTTGCCAAAACCTCTGTGCCCACCTTGGATGGAGCGGAGTCTCAGGGCAGACCAGACAGCATTGATTTCCCATCAGCCCTGCCCTAATAGGCCTATATGTCTCAGTGTCCCATGGTAATTCCTGCAAGCACCTCTGAGAGAAGCCCACCCTTGAGTTCCACCCACTGCCAGACAATCCAAATTCCCTCCTAATGAGTCTAGGTCCCCAGAGTCTTGCTCGGTACTGGAGTTTAGTACAGTTGGGAGCTTTTGTCTCCCTCCCACTTGAGAAAGCCATTCTTGTACTCAGTTGCCTGCCCTCTCCATGTGCATGCCTTGATACCTAGGCCTTCCACGGTTCCTCTGAGTCTCAGTGTGCTTTTCTCTTTCCTGACTGTACTGTT